ATCTTAAACAAGTCCTTTATAACTCCTTATAAGTCCTTTATAGCAGTGGCTTGCATATAACAAGAGCTTAATAAATGCTTGTTGACTGACTTGTTGACTGAGCAACTTCACCAATTGGAACCTTCATTTCCTTATCTGTAAAATGAGAGTGTTGGACTCTGACCTTCCAGCTCTTAGATTCCAGCTTAGAGATCCAGATTTATCAGAAGAGAACTTTCTGAATTCCTGTTGGTTAAGGCATTGGACTTGGAGTCAGAAAGATGTGAGTAAAAATCCTATCTCCAGCATTTATTAAAAAAAAAAAAAGAATCACTATGGGTAAGTCATGTAGCCTCTCTGTGCCTCAGTTTCCTCATCTGTGATTGTGAGTGTTGGAACTGGTCACCTTTAGGGTCTCTTCTGGCCATAAATCTATGATCCATTTGTGCTTGGAATTTTGTTTACTTTTTCTTTTTTCAAACTTCAGTCTCCCTCAGGAGTGTACTGATTTCCAAAGTAGTGTTAGGAGACTGAATTTAGGAGCCAAACCCTAGTTCAAACTTGATAGTTAGACTAGAATACTGTTTCCTAAACAAATATGACCACAGAAATGTTGAGATTTCAGGTTCATTGGCAGAGCCCATATTTGTCTAAGAGGGATCGAGGTATGAAATATTACTCCCTTCCCTAAGATAAAGGGAGATGGAGAGATGTTGGAGGCAAAACAGAGGAAATTAAGCCAATTTTGACACTGAAACTTACTATATATAAGTGTTTTTGATAATATATATTTTGATATTTGATATTTTACAGGGGGAAATATCATTAGCATCAAAATTTGGTCTTTGAATCTCCCATTAGGTTGTATGGAACATCGGGGCTCTATGGAACCATTTTGGGAAATGGTGCTCTAAGAAATACCCATTAGACAGTTTCCCCTGACAATGTGACTTTCTCTATTCCCCCATAAGAAAAGTAATGGTTTTAACCACTGGCAGCATTTTCAGTAGTCCACATTTAACCTCATACATTTAAACCTCCTAAGTGTTCCTTAGCTCAGTCTACACTGATTCCCAGTGCTGGTTTTATTAAGTAGTTCAGGCCTTCTCCAATTATCTCAAAATGATACTAATAATAATATCAAGCATGTACATGGTACTTAAAGATTTTTGAAGTATTTTACAATTAACTCATTTGATCTTCACAAAAATCCTGGAAGATAGGTGTTATTTATTATCTCTCTCTTATAGGTAAGGAAATGGAGGCAGACAGAGGTTTTGGCCAGATTTGCCCAAATTCTCACAGCTAGTGTCTGTGGCAAGATTTGAACTCATGTCCTCTGGCTCCATGTTTTACACTTTACTCACTGTGCTACCTAGACACCTTAGTAAGCTATACTGAAATGGAAAAAGTGCTAGATTTAGAGTCAGAACCTGGGCTGCAATCCTAGCTTTGCTATTTGCTAACTGTATTGTGGCAGCTAGGTGACACAGTGGATGGAGTGCCTGGCCTGGAGTCAGAAGGACCTGAGTTCAATTCCAGCCTTGGGCAAATCACTTAACCCCTGTTTGCCTCAGTTCCTTATCTGTAAAATGAGCTAGAGAAGTAAAGGGCAAGTGACTTCAATATCTTTGCAAAAAACAAACGAACAAACAAACCCAACTTGGGGTCTTGGAGAGTTGGACGTGACTGAAATGAGTTAACAAAACACTGTATTAAGTTGAGTAAATCATTTAACTTCTCTGGGCCTCAGTTTTCCCATGGGTAAAGCAAGGGAATCTCTGAAGTCTATCCTTTGTAATTCCAAATCTATGACCACAAACTCTCAAAATAAAATAAGTTTAAATTAACTTACATATATGCCAGAAAAACCATACACCAATCCAAGAAAATATGCTACAATTTTGTTAGTGGTATTTGTTGAGTTCCAGGGTTGTGCCAATGTGTTTAAATCTGTCAATCAAGCTTGGCCAGCCTCTTCTACATCACAGCAGAGGTGACATTCCCTTCCTGCTAAGCTATATCTAGAAGTCACTCCTTCCTCATATCACTGAAATTTTTCTTTTCCCTTATTGGGCAGCCAGTTAGTAAAGGAATTCTCTGATTCTCCTATCCTGAAAGCCATCTTTTACATCTGAAATTTTCCTAAACCCTTTCTTTTTCAGCATTTCTCCTTTACCTCTATAATCTCCTACCTTGTATTTTACTCATTTATGTACATATTTTATTCCCCCTATTAAAACATAGACTCCCGGAGGGTTAGGACTATTGCTTTTCATCTTTGTATGCACAACGCCTAACAAAATGCCTTACACTAAGTAAGCACTTAGTAAGTTTGTTAAACAGAATTCAAAGTAAGATAAGATGAAGACTTGACTCATTGATACCCTATTAAAGAATGGGTTTTGCCTGCATGCTTCATTTTATTTCCTGCTATTACTGGGATGATAAGGCCATCACAGAACCATGTGACCACCACTTTCATGCTAGTTCAATTCATTCAAATTCATTGATACCTACCACATATAAGGCACAGTGCTAGGCATTGAGGAAGGGGAGGTATACAAATGATGAGATATGTTTCTTGTCCTCAGAGAGCTTACAATTTAGCCTGAGAGAGAAAACTTATTCAGAAGTAACTAATGTCACAAATTCTATAGACAAAGACAAGCATGGGACTATGTGAACATAGAAGAGAAAGTGATTATTTCTGGTTATGTCATGGAAGAAGTAGCATTTGAGTTGAGACTGTAAGGATTGGCAATTGGTAGAGTGTGGGGTGTTTTGAAGGGAGGGCATTCCAGAAAGAACAGTGTGAACAAAAAGTACAGAGTCAGGAAAGCAGGTACTGTGTTTGAGGACATCTGGTTAATCCTATTTGAGTGGAGCATAAGGTGTATGAAGGGAAGGAGCAGGAGATAAGGCTTTATAAGAAAGATACCCAGAAACTACTGTGTGTTACCCCTAAAGATGCTTGCTGAATTGAATTGCGGCCAGATCATGGAGGGTTAGGCCAATGAGTTGAGACTTTACTTCTTTGCCCAAAAGTTTTTAACAACTCCACATGTCATAAAAAATAATGTGACCAGAGCTGTGCTTTAGGGAGATTACTCTGCAAGGAATGAATAAAAAATATTAAATTCTTCCTATGTAGCAAGCATAGGACTAAATTCTGGGAATACATATAGAAAAGCAGGACAGTCCCTACTTTCAAGGAGTTCATATTCCAATAGCAGAAGACAACATATACGAGAGGACAAGTGTCTTGCTGCAAGACAGTGTCTTGCTCATATTAGGAGTAACAAACAATTCAGCTACAGCTCAACAGCATGAGTGTGTAATGGAAACAGATAATAGGATCACAGATTCAGAGTTGGAAGGGATCTTAGAGACCATCAATGCCATCCTTCCCTGGTCCTCACTTTACTGCTGAAATAACTGAAGTCAAGAATGGTTAAGTGACTTATTCAGGGTCACACAGCTAAAAAGTGTTGAAGGCTTACACTTTAAGCCTACTTTTTCTAATTCCAAGTAGTATGCCTTTCTCTAGTAATGAGTGGCAGCTTGGGAGCAGGCATAGAGAAATGAGATGATTCAGTATGCTAATAAATATTAACAACTGGCTCTCTGGAAAATAGGTACACAGGACACACTTCTAAGTTTAATTTGTATCATTACCATTTTCTCCATCACTTTCTTAAGTCTAGATGAGCAACAAAACAGTAAATCAAGCCCTGATTTACAGTGTTTGCTGATTTCTGAAGTGTAAATTCTCACACTGAAAATTTAACGACTGAGAGACTGTAGCAGCTGGCTCCATTATGCCCCTGGTTTTACCCAGGGTTTAGGCTAGACAAGGTGGGTACTCTGGAAGGCCCATGATTTGGCTGTTAATCATGTTACGTAGTAGAGAAGAGGTCTACATTTAGAGCCTATGGACTTGGGTTCAAATTCCTACTCTATTACTTATTTCCTATACTTATAAAATATGTTCAATCATCTCACATCTGGCTAGGTTATGTATGGAGGCAAACAGATCTAAGATGGAAAGGCCTGCCAGACTGGGAGAATAGGGAAAGGTAGAGGGACTGAAGGTTCTGATGAAAGCAAAGAAGGAATTTATTAGTGGTGGAAAAGGTAGAAGGTTATGATTGGAGAGAGGGGAATTCAGGCCACTGAAAGTCTGCCATTTCTTCTTATTTTTCAGAATTTTCATTGGAAAAGTAAAATAAGGGATCATTAAATAAAAAATAGCAGCTATGCCAGTGGAGATTTAATACTAAGAGCATTTGATACAGTTGTACCACTTCACAAAATTAAACATCTCTGGTTTTAAAGAAACCTCTGAAGTCATGTAGTCCAACCTGTGCCTGACCAAGTATACCCTCTACTACCTCTCCATGCTATCTCTTAAGGATCACTTCTAATTATGAATACCTGCAAGACATCCATTTTATAACAGACTTTGGAATTTTGCCAAGAAGGAAAGTTAACTATAATTTTCAGGCTCCCCCTTCTCTTTTCCTGAAAATTGGGACCTTTTTCCCTCTCCAGTGCAATAACACCTCTCATATTCTCCTTGACCTTTCAAAGACCACTCACAGTGGTACAAAAATCCCATCTTTAAATTGTTTTTAAGTTCTAAGAGGTAATTCAACAAATCTTGTTAATCTGAACTCATTGAAAATAGACATTTTTATTTATTGGGGGTGTAGATATGTACACAAATAAGATACAAAATCACTGACCCTCAGAAGAGACCATAGAGATAGTTTAGTTTAACTTGGACTTGACTGAAACTCCTCACTATGTCAGTCTTAACAAATAGTCATCTCACTTTAGCTTGAAGAACTCAAGTAATAAGGCAGTGACTGTCCCTTTACCCTGTTGTGGTGTCCATTATTCAATCACACTAATTATTAGAAAGCTTTTCCTTATATCAAAGCTAACTCATGAGCACCTTTGACTAATTTAGACTACCTCATACTCACTGTGTCCAAACTAAGTTTTCTTTTCTCCAGGCTAAACATCTCCAGTTCCCACATTGGATCCTCAGCTAGGGGTGTGGTGGAGACAATTGGCTCAAGAGGTAATTGTTAAATTTTCAGTGTGATTATTTACATGTTGGAAATCAGCCAATGCTATAAATCAGGTTTTGATTTATTGTTTTGTTTATTGTAGACCCAAGGAAGTGATGGAGAAAATGTTAATAATATAGGTTACATTTTAAAAGTGTTTCATGTTTTTCAGAGAGACAGTTAAACATTTACCAGCATTCCACTCCTTAGATGTCATGCTCTTGTGGTCTTAAACTGTTCTAGAAACCCTTCTCTAGCCACTCTTCATCTTTTCAATATCTTTCCTAACATGTGAAACCCAGAACTGAATGCCATACTCCAGGTATAGCCCAACTAGGGCAAAGCACAAAATATCTATTAGCTGCCTTATTCCAGATGCTAAGTTTTCCTTGATGAAGCTTAAATATCATGCCGGTTTTTGTTGTTTTTAGTTTCTGTATCACCATATTGGCCATACCAGGCTTTCTACCCACTAGAATGCTCATATTCTTTTCAGAGCTGTTGTCTTGCTATGCCTCTACCATCTGGTATTTGTGAAATTGATTTTTTGAACCCAAGTATAGGACTTAGTATTTAGCTTTATTAATTTTCGTCTATTATATTCCGAATGTTCTAGCTTGTTGAAATCTTTTTGAATTATTTATCTGTCATCCAATACATTAAATAGTATAAATACTTCAGTAAGGCAAATAACTACCCTGTAATTCCTCAGTTTTATTAACCAATGAATGAATTAAAAAAAGTAATATGCACTTAGTATTTCTGAAGCCCTGTGCTAAATAAACACTGGGAATACAATTCCAAAATAAGACAGCCTCTGGTCCTTAGGGAGTTTATGTTCTAATAAAGGGAGAGAATGCATATGGAATCATATTTTGAGTATTTTCAAATCATGTCACACTGTATAGCAACTTTAGTTAGTAAAATATAATGATAAGAATAGTGATTTTTCTAGTTTTGGATACTAAAATACTATGTATGTGAAGGCAAACAGATATGTACATATAACCATGTGCGGATATGCACCCATATGTGTACGTGTATATACATGTATGCATGCATGCATGCACATATATTGTATTTGTGTTTTAGTTGGATTCAGCCTATATCTTCTTGTGAGGTCATCACCAGGCTAATATAATTGTCCCATTTTACAGATTGCCACACTGAGATAGGAGAAGAAAGATGCTTTCACACATATCACTGAACAAGTTAGTGATAGTACTAAGGAGCCCAAGAAAGAAAGCTGGAAAGTCTTTGACAGGAGCCAGATGGGAGTTGGTGACTTTCCCTCTATTCCAAATGATATTCCTGGTGAACTCACTCTCATTACATTTCCTTTAGAGGTCAGGGATAGGAAGATATCATGGCTTCCATTTTATGTCCTAGTGAAGCCTGGTGGCTCCCAATCAACATAGTGAAACTATGGAGCTCCCTTTTCCAAAACAAGACATAAAGGATAGAGAATTAGACTTGGAGACAGACAGACTTAGGCTTGGATCCCGTCTCAGATACATACAAGCAGTGCAATCAAAGGCAAGTAACCTAAACTCTGAGTTCCCTTATATAAAACGAGGGTGATAATAGCACCTGAATCACAGGCTTATTGTGAGACTCCAATGAGAAAACATATCGAAAGTGCCTTGCAAGCCTGAAAGTGGTATATGAATGTAAGCTGCTATTGTTGTTGTTATTGTGACTGTTGTTATTAATAATTACTTCCTTTAATTAGAGAGAATAGGACTAGCATCTAGGAAGGTGTGTGTTCACAAGGCCAGACTCTACCAAAATGCCAATGTGGCAACTTTCAAACAGTTTTTAGGAGAGCTTGTTTCCTCTGTATCCAAGGGAGAAGAAAATAACTTTGAGAGACTATTAGAACACTAATGGATTTCAAAGATTATCTAGTTCAACTTTCATTTTACAGACAGAGAAACTAAGATGCAGATTAAGTGTTATGTCCAAGAAGTGGCAGTCAGAATTTGCATACAGATCTCTTAACTTTGTCATATTTCTTTTCTCTGTTTCCTAGTAGAATATAGAGTTGCTGTGGGAGAAGATAAATAGAGAAGGAAAAGAGATGGGAGTAGGGAGGTCCAGAAAGGAGAGAATTTTAAAATCTGTGCTTGTAGGTATACCAGAACAATTATTATTCAGGGTTTTTTTTTTCTTATTTTATTTTTTTTCTATTTTCCACAATTTTTATTTTCATTTTAATTTTTAAATACATTTATTCATTTTCAGTTTTCAATATTTACTTCCACAAGATGTTGAGTTCTAAATTTTCACCCCATCTCACCCCTCCCCCACCCCAAGATGGCATGCATTCTGAATATCCCTTCCCCTACTCTGCCCTCTCTTCTATCTCTTCCTCCCTTTTCTTATTCCCTTCCCCTTCTATTTTCCTGTAGGGCAGGACAGACTTCTGTACCCCATTTCCTGTATTTCTTATTTCCCAGTAGCATGTGAAAACATTTTTCTTTAAACATATGTTTTTAAAACTTTAGGTTTCAAATCTTCTCCCTTCCTCCCTCCCCACCCACCTTCATTGAAAAGGCAAGCAACTCAACATAGGTTATACATGTGCAGTTATGCAAAACACTTCCATAGTAGACATGTTGTGAAAAACTAACTCTATTCCCTTAATCCTATCCTGCCCTCCATTTATTCTATTCTTTCTTTTGACCCTGTCCCTCTCAGAAGTATTTGCTTATGATTACCCCCTTTTCCAATCTGTCTTCCTCTTTGTCATCCCCCTGTTCTCTTTACCCTTCTCTCCCTATTTTCCCACAGGGTAAGATAGATTTCCTTACCCAATTGAATGTGTATGTTATTCCCTCCTTAAGCCAAATCCTATGAGAATAAGATTCACTCATTCCCTCTCACCTTCCCCCATTTCCCCTCCACTGTAAGAGCATTTTCTTTTCTGTTTTTTTTTTGTGAGATAATTTACCCCATTCTACCTCTCCCTTTCTTCTCCAAATATAATCCTCTCTCATCCTTTAATTTTATTCTCTGAATATGACCCCTTAATCTTCAACTCACCCTGTGCCCTCTATCTATCTATCTATCTATCTATCTATCTATCTATCTATCTATCTATCTATCTATCTGTCTGTCTGTCTGTCTGTCTGTCTGTCTGTCTGTCTGTCTGTATGTCTGTCTATCTCTCTACCTATACATACATTTAATTTTTTTCCTCCAACCACCCTAATACTGACAAAGGTCTCATGAGTTATAAATATCATCTTTCCATGCAGGAATGTAAACAGTTCAACTGTAATAAGTCTCTTATGATGTCTTTTTCCTGTTTACTTCTTCATGCTCCACTTGAGTCTTGTATTTGAAAGTCAAATTTTCTATTTAGCTCTGGTCTTTTCATCAAGAATGCTTGAAAGTCCTCTATTTCACTGAATGACCATTTTTTCCCCTGAAGGATTATACTCAGTTTTGCTGGGTAGGTGATTCTTGGTTGTAATCCTATTTTCTTTGCCCTCCGGAATATTATATTCCATGCCCTGTGGTCCTTTAATGTAGAAGCTGTTAAATCTTGTGTTATCCTAATTGTGTCTCCACAGTACTTGAATTGTTTCTTTCTGGCTGCTTGTAATATTTTCTCCTGGAAACTCTGGAATTTGGCTACAATATTCCTAGGAGTTTTGCTTTGGGGATCTCTGTCAGGAGGAGACCGGTGGATTCTTTCAATTTCTATTTTGCCCTCTGGTTCTACTATATCAGGGCAGTTTTCCTTGATAATTTCTTGAAAGATGATGTCTAGGCTCTTCTTTTGATCATGGCTTTCAGATAGTCCAATAATTTTTAAATTCTCTCTCCTGGATCTATTTTCCAGGTCAGTTGTTTTTCCAATGAGATATTTCACATTCTCTTCTATTTTTTCATTCTTTTGGATTTGTTTTACAGTGTCTTGATTTCTCATAAAGTCACTATCTTCCAATTGCTGTATTCTAATTTTTAAGGAAGTATTTTCTTCAGTAAGCTTTTGGACTTTCTTTTCCATTTGGCCAGTTTTTCTTTTTAGGGCATTCTTCTCCTCATTGGCTTTTTGGACCTCTTTTGCCATTTGGGTTAGGCTATTTTTTAAGGTGTTATTTTCTTCAGTATTTTTTTGGGTCTCCTTTAGCAAGCTATTGACTTGTTTTTTGTGATTTTCTTGCATCACTCTCATTTCTCTTCCCAGTTTTTCCTCTACTTCTCTTACTTGCTTCTCAAAATCCCTTTTGAGCTCTTTCAAGGCCTGGGACTGATTCATATATTTCTTGGAGGCTTTGGATGTAGGAGCTTTGACTTTGTTGTCTTCTTCTGGTTGTATATTTTGATCTTCTTTGTCACCAAAGTAAGATAATATAGTCTGACTCCTTTTGAGCTGCTTGATCCTAATCCCGGCCAATTACTTGAGATTTAAACTCTTTGTTAAGGTAAGAGTCTGCTTCCACTGTGGAAAATGTACTGTCCCAAGCTTTGGGGGTTTATGTAGCTGTTTTCAGAGATACTTGTAGGGGCCTGTAAATTTTCAGTTCTTGCAAGGTGGTATGGTAAGGGGCGAGGTGTTTACTCCTTTCCTGGCCTGTGCTGTGGTTTATTAGTGAGCACAAGCACTCCTTTCTGCCCTGGAACTGTGAGGAAGGTTTCCTGTCCACAGCCACTACAAGCTTTACCACGTCAGCGCTCTTTCTCACCCCAGGACCCCCGTCCCGAACTGTGACCCAGATTCAAGCACAGGCAAAGCAAGAGATTCCTGCCTCAGCAGAGGGATCCCTGCAATCCCCCTGTGATCAGCCACTGGATTCCCCCTTAGTCTGTGGGCCAGAAGCTTGGGAAGCAGCTGCCCACCCCAGGGCCATGCTCTTGGGGAATGGAGCTGAGACCCCACCTTCCTCTCTGAGCACTGCAGAAACAGACTTTTCCCACTGACCTTCCAAGTTGTCTTTGGCATCCATGGATTGAGGAGTCTGGAAACTGCCACAGCTGCCCATGATTCAGTCCTCTGAGG